AATAAGTTTAGATTTGAGTTGAGTGAAGGTTCTTGATCCCTGTTGTTTTCTGGGTTTTAGGGAGAATTTGGGGATTTTTTTTGTTGCTCAGCTAACCCAGTGCCCTAATCTATTAGCCTTTCATTTTAATTGAAACCAATACATTGACTCTTTCAAAGTGAAAATGAGGCTCACAGCTCTGCCTCCCACTATGGAAGGCTGATTTGGGGAGGTGCATGGTGAGATCAAACTCACCTGGACTCTGACTTCTGAGCTCCATACTTGCATATAATCAGGGCCTACTGGGCACGTCCAGAGGATGATGACCAAAGTGCCTCTTCATGTATCCAGAACAGCCAGCTCCTATCCTAAGTTCCCTAACTAGGTAAAAGGTAATACTCTAAATACAAAACAATAACAACTAACATTGGTGGATTATTATGTCCCCTCCCCCAGGCACTGTTCTAAGCTCTTGAGATTTCTTGAAAGTTGTTTGGGGGATTAATTCTTTTAATCCCCCAAACAACTTATGAGATAGATACAGTTGTCATACTACCCTAAAACAAGGCTTTGGCATGCAGTAGATGGTTAATAAACATTTGTTGAATGAATGAATTCCCATTTTGTAGATGGGAAAGCTGAGATGTAATAGATTGAACAATCTATTGGTCACACATATGGGAAAGCTGAGAATGTAATACATTGAACAATCTATTGGTCATACATATGAGGTCACACATATGAGAAAACTGGGACTTGAATCTAGATGTTTCTGAGCCTATATCCTGTGCTTTTCTTTTTTTAAAAGATTTATTTATTTATTTATTTATTTGAGAGAGAGAGAGAGAGAGAGAGAAAGCAAGGGGAGGGGCAAAGGGAGAAGGAGAGAGAATTTCAAGCAGACTTACTACTGAGTGCACAGTTCCACATGGGGCTCGATCTCATGACCCCGAGATCATGACCTGAGCTGAAACCAAAAGTTGGATGCTTACCTGACTGAGCCACCCAGGTGCTCCTATATCCTGTGCTTTTATCCATGATGGCAAGGTGGCTCTTGGACCTGCACAGAGTGCCTACCATAAAACCTAGTCCTGCTTTCACAAATTTTCACAAATTTCCCTCCCTTCTAAATCCCACATGTTTCTGGTAGCTGTCCACAGAATTTGGCACTGATGGAGTGCCAACCACATCCCACTCAGTAACTTGGCCAGTTATATTAACCCAGAATCCCTCCTCATCTGTCCTCATTCCTACCCCACCCTTTCTAATTTTGGAGGTACCGCTTGTCCCCTCTTGGTAGTCTCCAAGAAAGCAAGCTCACCTGTCTCTCCAAATTTAGTTACTGGAATGACTTCAAGCCTAGCCATGTCCTCTCTTTTGTGACTCCATAGCTAACCCCTTTGTACCTCAGGTGCTCAAATTCAACATACCTATAACTGAACCCATTGTGTATCCATCAGATGTTTTCGGGTTGTTTCTAGTTTTTGTTTTGCTGGCCCTCTTTGGGTGAGGCTGGGTCAAAATTCAGATGCTTGTACCTTGTTAGAGTGTTGGGCATACTTCTGGCTCATCTAGCTTTTAAGACCAACAAAGGCTGACATTTGGCATTTGGAATGTACCTGAATGCTACCTATAAAAGCCCACCATGAAGGGCATACCCAAGAATGCAAATCTACAAATCCATAGGACTATGGCTAATTCATTACTTAATTAGATTTCAGCAGTGTGTCTCAAGTGGTTGCAGGTAGAGATTTATTTGAATTTTGAATCACTTTAAAAATTCACATTAGATATATTTTTAAAACTGACTTATTCAACAGATGTAATACAGCATCTTTTTCTACGTGGGGTTGCAGCAAAATCAGAAGTTGTTCTTGGCCTTCACACACTGATGATAATGATTTCTCTGTTCCCTACTGCTTAGTGAGTGGGCTGCCAGAAACACTCTTTGGCTCCCATAGTCAGAGATGTGGAGTCTTCTGTCATGAGCACTGGTCAGACCTTCCCTGGTGCTAGCATAGTTTGTATCTCCTTCCACACTGAATTTAAAATGAAGATCTTATTACTATCAGCCTCATGTGGTTGTTATGAAGATTAAATACATGCAAAAACTATTACAAGTTGAGGACATAGTGAATCACTCCAGAAAGATTACATACGATTTTTCTTATTTACAAATAACTGGGAGGAGGGACAATATGTTGAGGGATATATTGGTTCTCATTCCCTGTATTAACCCCATAGCAACTCTGCATGTATAGCTGGTGTTCAATAGGAGAGCATTATATTTAATTCCTTATTCTGATGATAATAATTATTAAAATGATGGTTGTCATGGTTACTGTGTTTAGCAGCATCTATGCCTTATCTCAGTGTTTCACCAATATGGTGCATAGGCAAACGTTGTTAGTTTTAATAGGAATTTATTTTAGTGTGTATCACTAAAAATAAAAAAAAAAAAACACACACATCAAATTCATTATTTCTTGGCCATAATACCTAAGGAGAAGCTGAAATTAAAAAAAAAAAACAAATAAACAAACTATGGGTTGAAATTTATCTATCTAAAATACATAGTAAATATATTAATTTATATAAAATAGGTACTTTTCTGCTCTATCTATGTACAGATGTAGATCTTTCTTGACTTACAATGGGGTTACATCCAGATAACCTACTGTAAGTTGAAAATATTGAAATCCAAATTGCTTTAAATCTACCTAGCCTACTAATCATCCTAACTTAGCCTAGCCTACCTCAAAGTGCTCAGAACACTTTTATGAGCCTACAGTTGGGCAAAATTATCTAACCCAAAGCCAATTTTATAATGAAATATTAAATATCTCACTTAACTTATTGAATACTGTACTGAAAGCAGGAAACAGAATGGCTGTACGGAGAATGGTTTTAAACGTATTGGTTGCTTACCCTTGTGACTGCGTGGCTGCCTGGGAGCTGTGGCTCGCTGCCAATGCCCAATATCACAAGAGAATGTTGTACCCTATGGACCCTCTTCCTACCTCCACTTCAGTCAGGTAGCTAAGGGCCCAAGTACCTCCACTTTGGCTTTATAGAACAGCCCCAAGAGACTCGTGTTAGTTTTGACCTTAGGGCCACAGCTGAGCTAAAGGGCTGAAGGCGTCAGACCTTTCTCATTTCAACAAAACACAGTTCCCAGGTGCATGCTAAAGATTCTTTTCTTCCCCATTGTTATTACCAAAAGATTCTGCTCAGAAATAAGTAATATGAATAAAATGCATTTCTTCTTGGGGCCTAGTGGCTTAAGAAAGGATTTGGTAGGGAACCTGTATACCTCCTGGTGGCTTTTGAAAGGGATTGTTGGCATATGTTGTGTTTTATTGATTAGTAACTCTTACTCCTGCTGTTATTCCTTTGGGCTCCTGCTGAACCGTGTTTTCTGGGTAAATTATTCTTAGCAAGGGTATTGCCTGGGGTGAGTTGTCAGACACAGGAGCGCTCCTTGCTTTCAGGCCTGGTCCCCACCTCTTCCCCAGTCCGCATCTCATGCGTTTCTGACCAGCCTCAGCCACTGATAGACTGCTGTCTTGAGCTTCAGAGGCACAATAGGAGGCATTATCTTGGCTCCCAGTCTGTGACTCAACAGCGAAGAAGCCAGTTGAAAACACACAAGGGATTAGACCTTTGATGTTACACAAAGAAAATTGCATTTCAAGCTCTGGAGAACATGAGCCATTCTAAACCTGATTAAGAGTCATCCAGCACCAAATTTTGATAAATGTTTATTTTGGAAAAGTGGATTGCGGGGTTTTCAGATTCTGCTTATTCATCCAGAAAACATTTGTTTTCTTCTTTATTTGGGATAGGAATAAGAGAAAGCCTGGAGTTGTCCTGAGTGTTTACTGTGCAAACTTGAGGAGTTTCTTTTGGCTGCTGCTTGAATAACTGTCTAGAGCTCCATGATGTAGATGGAGATTCTCATCCTGGCCACTCTGAGCTCATTTACAGGGGGCATGATTATAGAATTCAGGCACAGACCTAGCATCCTACCTGGGGAGAGGGTTTGGAGCACGTTTTGTTCTTGTTTTTTATTTTTGTCAAAAATAAAATGACCTATAAAATTTTGAAAAAGAAACAATCATTCCTAATTCTTCCATGCTTCATAGTTGCTAAGTAGCTTGTTTAATCTTTTGGTGCATTTATTTGTACACAGAAGTGTATGCTTTTTTTTTTTTTTTTAAAGATTTTTTATTTATTTATTTGTCAGAGAGAGAGAGAGGGAGAGAGAGCGAGCACAGGCAGACAGAATGGCAGGCAGAGGCAGAGCGAGAAGCAGGCTCCCCGCTGAGCAAGGAGCCCGATGTGGGACTCGATCCCAGGACACTGGGATCATGACCTGAGCCGAAGGCAGCTGCCCAACCAACTGAGCCACCCAGGCGTCCCCAGAAGTGTATGCTTTTTACATAAAATGGAATCATACCTGTTTTGTTTCAAAATCTGTGGTTTTCATTTAGTATATTCTGAACATCTGTCCATGTTGATAAGCAGAGTTCTCCATCATTTTTAATGACTGCTGAATGATTTTCTATCCATGGCCTTCTCTCCCTCCGTAAGTCCTTCACACTCCTGCCTTCACTGGCATTCCTGTTGTCCCTTCTCTTCCTCATAGTCTGTCCTCTTCTGCTTCAGCTCCATTTATTGTTTCCTGTTTTTACTGTAACATTCTTAACACACCCTTCAACATATGCAAATAATATGAAATAGAAGGTTTTTGTAGTTTGGGGCTATGTTGATTTTATAATTCATACCAAAATAATTTGTGTTTCCATTTTTGGTGGTGGTGGTGGCAGCTTTAATATTTTCTGCCCAAGTTCTCTGAGAACAAACATGACAGTAGTTTGAAAGCCTTTCATATCCCCAGAAGGAAGAAATGACAAAGAGGCAAGACATTATAATGAATGTTTATGATCTTTACTTAGGAACATGACAGTCTCAAGGCCTCTGTCATGTCTAGGTCTTGATGATTTATCTTGTTTCCTCAGATCCTGCACCAGTCCACAAAGATGGGCAGAATGAAGCAGACAGTACACCAGAAGACCTCCAGTCTGTTGGGACTAGCAGGCTGCTCTGTCACATCACTGATGGTGACAACCCACTGTTGTCACCACGATGCTCTATCTTCAGCCAAAGCCAGAGATTCAACTTAGACCCTGAATCAGCACCTTCTCCACCCAGCACTCAGCAGTTTATGATGTAAGAAAACAATGTTTTGTTATTATCCTCATTTCATACAGTTTTTCAAATACTACATTCATGACCTGTAATGAAGTATATGTCTGAGATAGTGCGAACATGCTTACGGAATGCAACTGGGAGACCTGAACAGTGAATGTTAACAGTCTGTACTTTCTAGTTGGGAATGCTGTGTTAGGTCCTGCTGTCTTAGGAGGAAATGGTCAGGGGAAGCAGGATACCCCAGGGCTTGCATGTTTGGACGTTTTTGGTGAAATGACCGGAGTCCTACGTAAGAATATGTATATGCGGATACCAGGAATACCCTTGTTGGTGAGCTTAATATTCTTTCCATGCCCGATAGCGGCCTCAAGGGATGGTCTGTGGCCGTGCTTGGGAGTTGTATACCTCAATTTCTTCTTAGATTATAGAAAAATGGTGGTTTACAATGGCTGCCCTCCACCTACCACCCCTCCCCCCGCCCCCGCCGAAAATTGTGAAACTGTGCACTTCTTTTTTAATTCTACAAATAATTTTGACGCATAGCTAAAATGAGTGTTCCTTGACTGAAAATATGTGCAGGGAATCCCTAGTTTCCCCTTGGTAACTTCTGTGGTCATTAATTAATTTATCCAAACCTGAGCACACAGGCTGTCTATTGGTAGACTCGAGGGAGTTAGTGGATTCTTCTATTATAAAAGATGTGCCATGCGAGAGGGTGAATTAATTTTCTGGAGGGGGTGGTCCATTCCTCTTATCAGATTTGCAAAGTCTCTGTTGTGTTAATATATCTTCCTTATAATGTTATTAGGTGGATCTCATGCAACCTGTCAGAGATGACACCACAGCAGGATGTTTCCTTTGGTTCTAAATTGGCCTCCTCCAAGCTTTAGGAAATGCATTTCCTGGACTAATATTCTGACATTTATATGCTAAAGTCTCTGATGGCATTTTCCCGTAATGGAATTCTGTGATTGGTAGCCTCTGTTAATAAGAAGATGCCACCATGGTAGACCCAGCAAATAACAGACTGCCCTTTCTGAGAATCCTGGAAGCTTGGTTTGGAGGCCAGTAGCAATGTTTATGGGACGACCATGGGTTCTGATGATTCTGTCCCTCCCTGCAATTGTTACAGGCCCCGGAGTTCTTCAAGGAGCAGCTGTGGTGATGGCAAGGAGCCACAGACCATTACCCAGCTCACCAAGCACATCCAGAGCCTCAAGCGAAAAATTCGGAAATTCGAAGAAAAATTTGAACAAGAAAAGAAATACCGGGTAAGGGCCCTACAGTTTGAAATAAGAGTGGATTGTGTCAGAAGTATGTGGGCTCTTCTTTACTTCCTTTTTGATTACCCCTCTGTTCCAGGGGACAGCTGTTTCCGTTTGCAACCCAGGACCCACCATAAATTGAGTTCCCTTCCTGGATCTGTCCTATCCTCACAGGCTGTAATTTGATCCTGCAAAGATATCTCCTAGTAATGGATTATAACTCTTGTTTCCAAACTGATTCGATTATTGATACTCTTTTTTTTCCCCCTGAGGAGCACTACTATCACTGTTTCTAGGACTGAAATTTGGAAAGCTTTTGAATTATGATCTTATTTTTTTCTCTAACCCTTTACTATTTGCAGTTTTGTAAGGACCTATTAAGGACCCAAAGGTCAGAGTCTCTAACTGAGAACAGAATAAGGGAGAGAGTCTTCTTTGACATAAGAGTACCTCTGGTTACCTATCAAGTGACATCTGTTCAGCTCATTCATAATGATAAACCCCAGTCCATCCTTTCCTGTCAGACACCAGTCTTCACGCTGGTGTTGCAGTGTTGTAATGATGAACCTTTTCTTTTATTACATGAGAAGCAAATAGAGAGGTAAGTGTCCTTATGGTCAATGCTAGTTTTATTTATTTTCCTTAACGGTAACCATGGCATAGACAAAAAACATATGGATGTAGAATTGCACAAAGATATTGGGTCTTTGGCAGAGGGCCCAGAGAGCTTGTTATCAGAATAAAAGAGAATAGGGAATAATGTCTCATACATCTTGAAATATTTAAAGGCTCACTAAGCACTTGGTACAGAGATAAGTGGCACATCTGTGAGTGGAATAAGATCTGCGGGGGGAGATGAGGGTGGGTGATATTCCACTCCCCCCTTTTTCCTATCCTGTTCCTCACAGTGACTTCAAATTCACTAAAAGACGGGTATACGGAGTGATTTTTTTTTTTTTTTAAGCTTTGTACAATAGAAAGAAAAATCAGACTGCTTTTCGAGACAACCTTAGTCAGGGTGTTGAAGCTTCTCTTCTTCCTCAAAGTCAAACAGTGACAGCTGTTATTGTCTTTTACTTCATTAGAGCGGGAAGGCACTCTACACATAAGAGGCATAGACCTTGATTTTACAGGTAAGGAAACCGAGGCCCAGAAAAGACTTGTAACATGCCTTAGGTAGTTGTATTCTATCAGCTCAGACTGGTAGATGAAAGATGAGTAGGTTTTGCAATGGAGGAATAGAAGTAAACTTTGTTAGTGTCCACATTTTTGAAATTTCTAGTTATCTTGAGGGAAGCTGATTTCCTCCATTTGCTGCTGGAATGTGTTTGGATCTGTCATATCCTCACATCGGAAACAGTAGAGTAACCACTATGGGTTTCATTCCCAGGTCCTGTTAATTCTTATTACCTGGCCATCCTTAAATCGGGCTGATCTGGATTTGAATCTGGCACAACTTAGTTAGGAACTTTGTGACTTTGGACTTGTTACTTTAGCTTTCTGAGTCTCAGTTTATCCAACTGCATAGTGAAGTTTATATTAGTAGTGATTTCTTAAGTTTGTGAGTATTAAATGAAGGAGTGCATATATAATGGTTGTTATAGTGTTTGGCACAGAGAAATATGTGGTCCTAGATATAATTAACTTTTTAATCTATTTGAGTGACGTTTGATCAGAGTATCCCAAAACAGCCTCTGCCTTGTCCAAAAATGAAGAAAAACTGTACACATTAATTCTTCACTGAATGTTTCTACCTGCAGCCACAACCCTGGATTACTTCTCTCAGCTATAACAGCCACCCAACAGGCTATCTATTTTGGAAAAGAATTTCTGCTGGCACCTCCCGTCCCTGTCTAGAGAAGTTTTTGAGCTGGTGCAGACACATGCCCACACAACTCACTTAAACATTCACAAATGTAGAAGGGTGAATTTGGGAGCAGTGGAGGAAGACCTCATGGTCACCACTGCCTCAGTGTGTATAAAAGTCTCTGGTATATCGGAACCTTCCTTGTCTTAGGGAATGGGGCTTCCCCTCACCCTTCCTGCTGGGGCACCAGGCTCTGGTTAGAGGCTTGACATGTTAATGGACTTAAATTAGTTTTTGAGTGTAAGGATTTTCTTCCTGGCAGGCTGATTGTGGAATTAATAGCATCCACAGCTAGTGTTTTAGTTTGAGCTCCTGCTGGGTCTCTGTGCTAGTCCAGTGGCCTGATACAACATGCATCTTTCCCTCTGTTGAATGTGACCATTTTACATTCCTATCCAAAACCGTGTTTATTTCTGGTGGACACTGGGGAGGGCATGTGCTGTGGTGAGTGCTATGAGCTGTGTAGGCTGAAGCACAGACCTGTACCCAAGACAAATAATACATTAGATGTTAATTTAAAAAATTTTACATTTAGCAATCATTACCCTTGTGGAGTTAGAAAAGGCTGTTTGAGCCAGATGTCCACTATTTGTGAAATTAGAGAATATTGAAATTAGAAGGGATCGGTCAGTCTTATTTCTCATTTGATGGTTGAAGGAACTGAGGCCCAGAGAAAGGAAATGAATTCCCCAGGATGACACAACAAAGAATTGACCTGGCCAAGACAACTCAGGTCTTCTCAATTCCTAATCCAGATTTCTTTCTAAAGGTCTTTTGAACTGTCTTTGACAGGCCACAGATCTGGTCCAGGATATCATCAGTCATGTGCCTTGGAGGTCCCATTTTAACTGAACAAAATACAGCTAGTTAGGAACTTTGTGACTTTGGACTTGTTAATTTATCTTTCTGAGTCTGTAATTTCTGGGTTTTATTCTCTTGGGGTCTATTAAACTGGGATATTTCAATTTAGAAGTTAGAAGGTTTGAAGATCCACAGTTTGTACATGAAAACTTTCCATGTGATTTGAAAGGTGCCATCCTTGTGAGCTTGATTTAAGCTCTTTTGAAATCTCCCTTGGGAGTAGGGAAATAAAAAATTCATTTCAGAAAATTATTTCGGGCTTTAAAATATTTTGTCAGAAAAAGAAATCAGCCTTACATTTTTCCTAAGTTCTATTTGCAGTAGTGAAAGCTGACTTCTTAGGTGGTTTTAGGTTTTTGTTCTTGTTCTTAACATTATTTAAGAAGATGGTAACTGTATAAAGCATATCTAGTGAGAAAGATGTGTTCCAGATGAACAAGATGTGTTTTCAGATCAGAGTGGAAAATTCTGTGAGGATTTTGAGAAACCAAATGTAAAATATTGGCTGTCCATATAACCAGACTGTTACCCGAAACAGCACACTAAACTGTATATCAGGGAAGTGGCACAGTGCATCATTTTGGCACATCATGGGTAGGACGAGGCGAAGCTATTTTGGAGGTGTGGCCTCGTGTCACTGTCCGTGGTACTGAAACCAGGGCTTCACTCATGGGAACCATCCATACTATCCATCTGAGCTCCCCAAGGTGAGGGGGGGGCGGGGACAGCACTGTTGTTTTCCTTCAATCTTCTTTTCCATCTTGATTTTAAAACTATGGTTTTTACATCACTCTAGAAGTGACAGAATCATGACCTGTGTTTCACAATTAACATACTTAATCCCATGTACTTTTTTTTTTAATTAGAGAGTGCCTACGTGTGAGCCAGAGAGGGAAGGGCAGAGAGAGGAAGGGGGAGAGAGAATCCCATGCTGAGAGTGGAACCTGATCCTGGGCTCAGTCTCAGGAACATGAGATCATGACCTGAGCCAAAATCAAGAGTCAGACACCCAACCAATTGAGCCACACTCCTAATCCCATTGATGGGATTTGATGACCATGCCATACAAGCAGTGTTTTTTCCTTTGAACCTAGGAGGGACACATTTCTCTCTTGATGCCTTTCTCTCAACAACTAGCTGATGTTACACAGACTTAGTGGATCCTTAAACAACATATGGCAGAGCCCCTAGACTTAGTCACTATCAATGTACACATTTCTGGTGATATTATAATTATGATCAGGGCATCTTGAGTATTCCCATATAATAGTCCTTGTATATGCTCAATTCAGAGTAATCATCAATCTTCCTGAGCCTGCATTGAAGTTAATTGAGTGGCCTTGATTTAAGAAAGATCTTACTGACCTACGGGGGTGGAGGCTAAGTATGTTTGGCCATTCTTCTTTCCTTGTTTCTCTTTTCTGTAGAAAATCCATTTTTATGCTAGGAGAATAAATCCAGAAATCAAAGTGAATGATTTTTTTTAACAGTCTTATCCTCCCAGAATAAAAAATATATTCTTATTGCCACATAGAGGTTCTATTAACTACTTGGTAAGATGTACATACTCCTACATATATGTTTGTTGGTGAAGACATATCTAGAATTCCTGTGAAAGTCTGGTAGTAACATTACTACTATCACCACTTCTAGTAATAACATCTGTAATTCTAGTTAACATACCTAACCTACAGTGCATAGCATATGCCAGTAACTGCTTTCACTGTTTCAGATGCTTTTATAATTCTAATCTGGTAGATGAAACTGAGGCTCAGTCATTTTCCCAAGATCACACACTTATGATTAAGTTTTACTTTAATGCTAGCCCAGTAGGATACTGAGTCTATAATGAGATGATTAAAAATATGGGTATCTCCCTGAAGTACTGTCTTCTCAGACGGTTGTCAAGCTTTAGAGATCCTGGGGTCTCCTTTCTCTGGGTTTGTGGAAATGACTGGTAGGAACTAAATCCTCTAGTTTGTCAGTATAACCCAGACAAGTGGTGGTCAAAAACCATGTGTGTGAGTACAGGTGAGGGAGTAAGCACTGGCTTATATTAGTGCTTAGGTACTGATATGAAGAAAGGTCTGGTACTGATATGAAGTCATCCACACTGATATGAAGAAAGGCCTGGCAACCAAGTGTGGGTTGTGGGTGGCCCACAGGGTGACTGAGGGTTAGACTGCAGGGGACACTGGAATGGTTGGGGCTATATGAAAAGTGCTGAGTGACTAGGCATATTTAGAAACAATGCCCTTGTCAAGGACGAAAATGTGGAGGAGGTCAGGAATGTTTGCTGTGTTTTTCAGAAGGAACTCTATCAACTGGAGTTGTCATATCTGAATTTCTCTCTTAGGTTCATATGTCTCTGAACTACCTTTGTGTTGTCTTGACTGTTTACAATTTTTGTTTTTCCTTTTATCTTTTTCTTTTCCTCTCTCCCTTTCACCTTCCCACCCACATTTACCCTCCCTGTAGCCTTCACATGGTGACAAGACTTCTAATCCTGAAGTCCTGAAATGGATGAATGATCTAGCTAAAGGTCGAAAACAACTCAAAGGTAAGGACCAGTCAAAGGTCTCTTTTCCCAGAAAGGAAACAGTTAAAATATTGATAATGTGCTCCCAGGCGTTTTTTTTTAATTCTTTTCTGCCTGTGCCCTCTCTAACCTTGTGTCTCACCTAGATTGGAGGCTCCATTTGAAATAAAGGGTTCTGGGTCTCCTTCATTGTTTGGCCCCATCTAACAATTCTCCTTATAAAGAGACTGAGGAACTTACAGACTCTGAATTGGGAAGATTCACTTCAGCACTAGGAACATTTCAACATGGGGAGTATTAACTTCCTTGGGTTACTGGATTCTTGGATGTAAGAAAAAGGCCTGAGCAATCATTGACTCTGCATACCCCTTTGCAGAGATGATGACATTTATGTCCAGAGATAGGGACAAGTTACATAGCTAGGAGTTAGTGAGCTAGGTGTAAAACTCAGTTCTCCTACCTCCTAATCCAGTGTTCTTTCTGTATTTCTCTGGAGATGGGAATGTGTTATTAATTAACTCTAAAATCCATTTAAAAGTACGATGGTATTTTCCAGCAAAAATTTATTTTCTTCCTCTCTTCACATTCTTATTTCGATACTTAGAGATGTGAGAATTTTTTCCAAATCTCTAAAAGGGTGGCAATAAAGAACGGGAAGGGAATATTAATTCAGTGGTATTAAACTGTAATGATGTAGCAGGTTTATAAAATATGCAGTGTTTCAACACCACACCAGAGTCTAACTTAAAAAACAAACATCAAACAAAGAAAACGAGCTATGTAATTGAGAAATCAATACAAATGGCCACATTGACATTATCAGCCCCTTAGCATATTCTGAAATGTAATTCCCTGACATGTCCCAGGTGGCTTTTTTATTTTTAATTATGTGGGCTTATATAAAACCACATTGAAATAATGGTGATTCCTGGATTTTAAAAGATAACAGACAAAATTGTGAAATCTGTCAAGTTGGGGCTGGCATTCACACCTCTCCTTTCCCATTGCTCCTGTATTTCCTCAGATGTCTAAGTGTGTAAAGCCTTATAGAGGTGTTTGCATTTATTTGCACAGGGGCTCTTAATGGCACAAAGCTTCCAAACTCAAGTAAGTGAACTTCTGAGTGTAGAATTCCAGGTGTTATGGTGGGTAACAGGTAAAATCTTTGGGGCAATACCACTGGTCTTCCTCTGGAACTCATCCTCTGAAATTTAAACCACTAAGTTACTCCTACACACGAATTACTCCATTTCCATGAGATTCCACCCTAGAGAACCCTCTGTTTTTACATCTGATTGGGAGCTTATGCTGTTGGTTCTGGTTACTAAGGCTGCCCTTTCCCCATGGAAAACCGTCAGCAACACCATCCATTTCGACTGATTTCACATCAGTGGTGGGAATTTCTGAAAGACTCTCTACTCTTAAGCCCAGTGAGTCCTCCTTGTTCATGGTAACTCATGGCATTTCTCTTAGAACTAAAGCTGAAGCTCTCAGAAGAACAAGGGGTTGCTCCCAAAGGCCCACCTAGAAACCTGTCCTGTGAGCAACCTGCAGTCCCCAGAGAGAATGGGAAGCCAGAAGCTGTGGGTCCTGAGCCATGCTCCTCTGGAGAGGAGACTCCAGATGCTGTGCTGACATGCCTGAAGGAGAAGAGAGAGCAGCTCCCTGCTCAGGAGGATTCTAAGGTACCTCACCATATCCTCACAGGTCACAACACTCAATATATTGTCAGTGAGATTATGGTTTTGAACAATTTATAAGAGCACTTGGCACCACATAAATAACTTTAGGAGACTGGCTCTGAAATTTCAGTCAGGTGAGTTTTTAGTAAGTTATTGGCCATGACCTATGGGTGTTGCCACTTAATTCCAGGATGTTGTTCTGGAAGTTATTGCATGTTGGTGGGAAGCAAATGACAAAGATATGAAGGTGTATCATGTCTCTTTCTCCCCTAATTCCCCCAATAAGCTAGCACACGATGTATGAGATGAAGTCAGAAAGATAGTCCGGGGGCCCTGATATAGGACCATTTAGGGTAGTATAAAGTATTGGAAAGCTGTTGAGTTGTTGAAAACAGGAAAGTGATATGACATGATTTACATTGAAAGTATCTTTCTGATTGCTGTGTGAAGAATAAATGGTAGGGGGATAGAGTGGAAGGGGGAAGATGAAATGGGTCCTTTGCACTAGCATGATAGCCTTGGAGATGGAAAGATAAAGACCTATTCAAAGTATAATTTGGATGAAGAATCAAAAGGCTATGATGAATCATTGGACAATAGGGAGTAAGGAAAGGAAGAATCCAAGATGGTGATGGGTCCATCTACTGAGATGGAGAATCCTACAGGAGGAACAGACTGGGGATGGGACTGGAAACCTAAGAGGTCTGTTGGACATGTTTATTTTAAGATCTTTGAGCAATAGTGTGACCACCCATTCTTGGTTTCCTTGGATTTTCCTGGATGCTGAAAATTTCAAATGATTTCATCCTGGGAAAATGCAGACAGTTGGTCACCCTGCTGAGGCATCTAAGTCAAATATAGCACGTGCACATGGGAGTCTAAAGATCAGAGAAGCATATTTGAGTTCTTTGTAAGTTATCTTTGCTTAAATGGCAATTTATTTCTATTATTTTAAATGGAGTATCTGCCAAGCTGATTAATAAATGTAATGTCAGAAGCCCCTTCAGCTCTCTGCACTAGACTAAAGGTAGGCCCTTTAAATAGAAAGCATCTATAGTGGAACATGTAGCTCTCAATACACAAAGCTATAGTATTGTTCCTGGGGAAGTTTAATACAGCAGACCCTAAAGTGGCTAGTGGTTCCTACAGGAGAGTCCCAAATCACAGCAGAAGCCAAGGGAGATTTGCAAATTTCCACAGTAGCTAGTTATTCCTGGCTCCTCCGTGAGCTTGTTAACATTTGAGATTATCTGAATAGGTCCCATTTCTTTAAACTAAAACTGGCAGATGACTTTTATCTGGGGTTCTTGCTTTACTGCAGAAAATACATTAAATATTAAAACTTCCAGGATGAAGAATTCTTTCTTTTCTAGAGAGACTTTTGTGAAATTTTTACATTTGGTATTTGGTCAGAGCCCATACTAAAGCTGATAAATCCTGTAGCATTGCCTTGTCAATTCAGATACTGCTATAGAGTAATTTTCCTCCTCTTCTATTAAAGGATGATTTTTGGAGGCAATCACTTCTGGGTCACAGGGTATCCACTGAGCCCTGAAAGTGAATGAATCATCCCCTAAGTCTGACTGTGGTGCTTATTTATATCCTTTTCTTCTGAAAGTCCCAAATTGGTGCTGACACATTGTACCCATTTTATTGCCCTTTCTGAGAACTGTAGGTGGTGTTAGGAGCATGGCACAAATTACCGACTGGATGAGTAATGGCAGTTACTTCTTCTGGATCTTCACTAACTGCAGCATCTTTGAGGAGGGAAGCAGATTTAAAAAAAAAAAATAGTAATTTTATTTTTTAAAATCAAATGAAAATATAGTGATTGTTACACATTATATATATAGTGAAAATACAGTGGTTGATATACAGTGAAGAGAGGGAAATTTAGAGGTAAAAGGCATCAGAAGGAAGATCCCATCAAGTTTTATTTCCTAGTTCTCTTTTTAAAAAATAAAAATAGTTTTCTTAATAGATCATACTATCTGATATAGTTAAAAAAATGTAAAAGGCTACACATTAAAAAGACTCTGCCACCCCATCTGCCAGCTCTAGCTCTGAGGTCTCCCATCCCCAAGCAGGTAACTATTGTTACTAATGTGTCATGTGTACCTTTTGAGTTTTTATATAAAGCATATGCAAGAAAGTATCAATATACATTCTTAATTTGTCCCCATTTAAAACTAAAAGTAACACATTATATAATTATCCTTTTTTTTCACTTTGTATATTCTGGATAGCTTTTTGTATAAAGAAATAGATTCATATTCTTTTATTCTTAAAATTTATTTAATAGCACCATGTATTCCTTTTTTAGTAATGGATAACATTAATAGTAACCTGAAATCAATTTTAGTTTTTAGCTTAAATAATGTTTAGTACACCTGACTCTTTGCCAGGGACATTTACATATGCTAACTTATTAAAACAATATATTCATACAACAATATATTCACTACATTAAAAATCTAAGGTTCAGACCTTACATAATTTTCCATGTTAAAAATAGGTAAGTTTTAAAGCTGATTATCTGAACTCATGTCCTCTGGTTTCAAGGCTAATATTAATCTGCAATCCCCTGCTTAGAAACGTTTTATATTGACCAAGCCGTTCTCTTCAGCAGTTTCTTTGTATGATTATGTTCATTACTGCTTTTTCACATTGTTTGACTTGTTAGTTCAAAAGTCAGACTTGTTCCGTATATACTGTTTCACTTGGTGAGGAGCTGGGGAGACTCAGACACAGGAAAAGCTTGGCAACACTTGGTTCTCTAAAGCGAGAGTAATTGATTCCCATCACTACTTCCCTCTCTAGGAGAGATCTTGATTATGGGGCTGATGGAAATGATTTTTTTTTTTTTTAGATTTTATTTATTTATTTGACAGAGAGAAATCACAAGTAGGCAGAGAGGCAGGCAGAGAGAGAGGAGGAAGCAGGCTCCCTGCTGAGCAGAAAGCCCGATGTGGGGCTTGAACCCAGGACCTGGGATCATGACCTGAGCTGAAGGCAGAGGCTTAACCCACTGAGCCACCCAGGTGCCCTGGAAATGATTTTTAAAATAAATTTCTGTGGTTTACTGTGAGGGAATAAATGGGACTAATGCCATGGGGAGAAAGGAAACCAAGCATGATGGTAAAAGCATATAAGCTATGGCAGTTTTTTCCCAAACAAATTTCTAACCAGGGCCCAGAAAGGAATACACTTGGGCTGTCTACTCAGTAGCAGTTCTGTCTTGCCACCTTGTTTGGGAGCTACTATTCCAAATAACTCATTGGGTTGATGATTCAAATAACCTACTAGGTAGGAGTCTAAAGAATTTTTTTTTGGCAAAGTTGTCAAGCTGTCAACAAATCATATCAAACTGTTCTATGCACAGTCCTCTCTTGCTCAACCTCCTTTTCATTCCACTCTTTCTGATGCTATAAGAAATGGGGGAGAAGGAAGTTAGACTAAGTATCTTTGGGATTTATCTTCTTTTATTTATCTTTAAATCTGACAGCCCATTCATGCTCTGGATATCTCTCTCTCTGGCTATTTCAGGTTACTCAACATTGTCTTTGTTTCCTCCATTCACATAAAGAAAATCAAAAGTTAGATACATCTGACATACCATGGACAGCCACAAATATGCAGAACTTGGCAGAGAGGATGCATTTCAAAAACAGTCGTTGAATATAGAGGGGACAATTGTCTGATTCTTGGCAGAAAATGGCTGAGGAATAGCCAAGTTAGATGTGTGTCTGCCCTTTAGATTTGAGGTACCTATTCAAGCAAAGCCTGCCTCTTGACTCATCTTCCTTCATGAAGATTGACTCTACAGGCCTTCCGGAGCTTCTTTCTATAGGTCTGTGAGTAGAAGAGAGCTCCAGGCACACAGTCTGATCACTAACCCTTCTGTTAGGCAGCCTGTCTTCCTATTTGAGGATGAGCACTTACAGAATTAGTTTTGACACTGTTGCCAGTGAGCCCTCATGTCTCTCTTTGGGGATTGCTTTGATAATGATGCTAAGAATAAAATCAGGGACTCATCAGAGTGAAAGATGAGTGCATACATTGTATATGGACACTGATTTTCATCTGGCATCTGTGAATACTTTTCTATAATAGCATTCATCATTTTAGCTTGCTTTTTGGTCACTCTTTTTTTCTTTTAGGATGAAATTTAGCTTTTCTAGAATCCAGAGGATATACTAAAAATAAATAAAATCAAGAAAATCAAACTACCATAGAAAGATGTTAATAACATTAAATGCATCATTTTCTGAAGCGTTTTCTGTGGAATATACGCCCCAATGAGACACTGAATAAAAAACACAATGTTAATGTTTTCTGAACTTGGATTGAGATTTTTTATTACCTATTAAAACCCTATGGGATACATGACAGGATTTTTTTTTTTTTTCATAGTAAGATGTATCATGACTAAGAAAATATTTAAGGAAAGACTGGGCCAGTAAATGAAAAGCTCTTGGGGTTACTAAGCCAATAATATTTAAAAGTCTTCTACAGAAAGCCTTTCTTTCTACTGAAAATGAATGAGCCTTAGGTTATAGCCTGTAGAATTATATGAAGACTGTTAAAAATTAGGGTGCCTTTGTTTATAAACCTGTGTTGATAAATTTATAGCAGGCAAGGGGGATGTGTTGGGTACTGTGAACATTTTTTAAAATATGTGATATAATCTTTGTTCTTGAAAACCCTCTAATTCATTTGGGCAGACAAAACTGAAACAGAGAAAATTGTGAAGGCCCAGATAATAAGACAGAGAAGTTCAGAGTAAAGGGAGATAAATAGGGGCGAGAATGGTTCTCAGCCATGTTCTTTTCCTTCAAGATCCCTCTGGGGGAATCTGGAAGGCAGAGGGCCAGATGATACTGTTTTTTTATCTTAAAGAAAAGATACTCGGGTGATTTTGCTATGTGCTATTTCTACCATCCCTTCCTGCATCTGACCAGAGTGAAAGGGAAACTGCATGTAGGAAATAGTTAGCAAATTAATGTAGGATACACAGCAGGGAGTAAAACCAAGGCAAGCAGAGGTTTGGTCACTTTGGATGGAAAGGTGATGGTGGGGTAGATAGGTAAGAGATTGATAGATATTATGCACAATGTGACCTGTTAAAAATAGTGCTTAGGGATGGGTCATACAGCAGAGAGGTAGGAGAATACATTCTTGGACCAGGAGGTTATGAAATTTTTTAGTTGGAAGGAACTTTGTAATTCCAACCTCCTTGTTATACAGGTAAGAAATTGAGGATTCAAGTAAGTTAATTGTCATATCCAGAATAGTTTATGTCAGAGCTAGCCAGCAAGCTAGTATATATTCTAGGCTTGTTGTGATGAAGACCTAAACAAGGTTGGTATTTGTGAATATAATCATGAAAATCCAGATAAAATACTCGTTTCAGAAAAAAAAAAAAAATTGAAGATCTCAATAACTTTTTTTTTTTTTTTTTTTTAAGAATGAAGTAGTAACAGGCTTCTTACCATTTACATATTTAGGATTCCTTCAGAAAGCTTTAAACATCTTTCTAAACTTGGAACTATCCTAAAGGAAACTTTTCCTAGAAGAAAACTGATATGTGCTTTAAATAGTATCTTATAAGTGACTTCGCTTTTTCTAATTACTATTGTATTATAGTATTATTAATCTCCTATTTTGAGACTTCAAAACTGGTTTTTTGTTCTTTTTTTTGCCTGCTAAAATATACTGACATGTTTTCATTCTCATCTAAGAAAGGACCAATAATTAATTTCATGTTTTTCAGGTAGCTAAGCAAGACAAGAACCTCATAAAACCTCTTTATGACCGATACAGGATTATCAAGCAAATCTTGTCAACACCTTCCCTTATTCCAACAATTGTAAGTCAGGATGCTTGCTTTAACTAGAAACAATTACTTGTGCTTGTTATAGTTTAGGTAAGGAGGCAGCGCTCTGACAGTTATAAATAAGCCTTCTTGGCAGTATATACTGCTAACAAGGCCAGTTGTTATTTCAAAAAGTAGAAATGTGGCCTCCATTAAGCCTAATATTATTAACTTAAGAGTGGTTGATAATTAAAATTACTATGAAAGAGGAATTTACAGCAATTGCATTTTGAAGCAAGTTTTAGCATTTGCTTTCATTTCTTGAACAAATGATGAATTTCAACTTGGCATTTTCTAATTTGCAACACAGCTAGACCAAACAGAGCCTTTCTATTCTGTGTGTTAATTTTTCTTCTTGAGTAAGAAAATTGACTACATGTTCCTTGATATAATGCATCATTTGTTTTTGATACCATTTGACCATCATTATGTAAGATATAAGATTTATTTCAATAGAAAATATGGCTACTGAAATTGAGTTAGACTATTTTTAATAAAGATGACTTATGGGAATACAGAACTAGAAAAGCACCACAAATCCTACTCCATTAATATTCAAATAGTCACTTGCTCAAGATATCAATATAAAAAGGAATAAATATTAACAAATACACATTAAGTATACTTGACTACATTATACTTTCATGATTTTAAAGACAAAGATAATAGTGAGTCATAGTCTCTAAAATTTTTCCATTGAGGAAGCATGATTTAAAAGGATTATGATTTTCAGATTTCCTTGCAAGGAAATGTTTTGGTTGTGATGATGTTAAGGAATAACTCCATTTTGCTTTGGCCTTCCTAGAGCTCATCCCTGAATTTGTCAATTTTCCAATCTCCTCTGTATCTGAATGTGGTCCACCCAGAACCTGATTTGGGGTTTTTCTAGATAACAAAAGGTGTCTAAAGTCCCTCTCATTCTAACCCATGTAACTGCTTATCCATGTAACCAGAAGGTCTGGGTGAAAGGGAGGAACTAGTAGGCAGTACAGATTGGACCATATCTTCTTTGGGCCTTTTTTGGCCCAGAAGAGATGAACTTGCTGAGCATTTTAGCACAGCATGGGTGCCTCTTCACTCAATAACTTCTGCAAGATTTTTGATGCACCTGAGAAAGAGGTCCTCTTGGTTTCTTCCTTCTGGTTTTTTGGTAGACACAGGGCTCGCCTACTGTTTTCATGGTGTCTATTTATGGTTCCTCTTCCTGTTTTTGATGCAAGAGGCACTTAGCATTTTGTGACTTTATTTAACTCTGCTTATGATAAGCAGGAGGAAGAAGACTCTGATGAAGACTGTCCACAGGGAAGCCAACAACCTTCTTTGCCAGCTCCAGTGTCTCACCTTCCTGTTGGTGACCACCTCACCTTCTCTGAGACTGAGCCTGTTACGATCCTGCTTCCAGATGAAAAAAAAGAAATCAAACCACCAGCCCTATCCATGTCCAATTTACATGAGGCCACTATGTAAGTGTGAATCCTAAGTATGGAGTTTCTTTTCAACTTTTCATCTGGGATACCTTATATATGTATACAAAGTTCACAAGAGCTATTAGATTCCCTAAAAAATGTGAACCAATGATTGCCTAAAAGCATAATCTGGTTTTTCTCTTGACTGGAGAATACCATAAATATGGAGATACCATAAATACTAATTTCCTACAGTTGCACATCTTTTCAGCAGGGTCTGACATCAGTCTAATTCTTGGCAATGTGTGAAGCAGAGATGGCTTTTGAAAATGCTGGACCAAAAGGAATTGGGATCTCATGGGGGTCAACATTTGTCAGGACCTTTATTCTAGTCTGTCTACTCCTTTAGATAAAATGGTTCTCCAGCCTGGGAATCCCCTTGGCCATAAGTAAATAAGCTGCCCTTAGGTTCCTAATGGCCTCTCAGGAGCTATTCGTATTCTCATTGTTATTATCATTATCATTATTCAGTAGTTCAGTAGGTGGCACTCCTCTTGATCATTTGGCCTTTTGTTTGTATATTATAGGCCAGACTATGAGATTTCCATTAACATGTAATACTGTAGTGTGGTGAGTATATACTTCAAGTTAGGGATGGAATCCCCAAAAATATATGAGGTGGGACTAAGGACTAAGTTCTAAATTGGGATTTTAGTGTGTTTATAGAATTAGCTGACACCTCAGTTTCAGCTCAGCGAAGTAACCTGTTTGGAAGCAGAAAATCAGTCTTCCTCTCTTTTTTCCCCTGTATCTTTCTCTCCTTCTTTCCCTCTCTTTTCTTTCATTTATTTATTGTTGGGGTTTTTTTGTTTTGTTTTGTTTTTTTTGAAAATGCCAATATATAACAGGGCGTTCAAAGTTCTGTAACCATGCACAAATTTCCTAGATAAAAATTCCTGTCTTAAAAGCACATGACTTTTCTCTTGTCTTAGTAGAATGAAGTGAGTAGAATTTGCAGTATAATTCTAGCTTTATTTTGAAAAAGGGCTGTTTCATTCCCAAGAGTTTTGGCGTTTTCCCCATACTCTACCTTAAGGGTAGACTTTTCTTTAAATTCTTGTCCTCTTGTGCCTCTTATGTCTTGTCTATCACCTAATACTGATGAGTATTCTTTCAAAATGTCTCTTTTTCCCTTATCCATTCATATGGTTATTACTGTCACCACATTTTATAGTGGACTCCATTGGCTTGCCTTCTGTCTGTCCTTTCTCTTCTCTGATGACATTGTTTTTAATCCTCTGTTTATGTGCTTCTCTATGATTAGGCTCTACATGTACTATATTTACTTAAAAGATACTCTTTTAGGCAGAACCCTTCTGTATCATTATATGATTTGCTGAATAGATAAATCTTCTTATGATGTCTCAATTCTGCCAGAGCTCAGTAATGGCAAATGTGTATTTTGCTTGATATAGGCCTGTACTTCTTGACCATCTCCGAGAAACTAGGGCTGACAAGAAGAGACTTCGGAAAGCCTTAAGAGACTTTGAAGAACAGTTTTTTAAACAAACGGGAAGGTAAGTGTGAGTAGAGATTTTTTTTTTTAAGTTAATATTTCCTAGGGAACTATTGTTAAGAATGAGCTGCTGTTTTTGGCAGGAACAGTGACTTTATATAAAATAGAAATAATTTACACAGTGATTTAGACTCAAGATCTGTCTAATGCAGCATTGTAGTAGTGCCATTATTAGGTATGTTTTATGGGAGGCTATAGCTATGAAATATGACATCAGGCTTTAAAAAGTAAAGGATGAAATCCAAAAATCCCTAACTATTGAATTTATCTAAACTTTTAAAAAATCTATTTGAGGGGCGCCTGGGTGGCTCAGTGGGTTAAAGACTCTGCCTTCAGCTCAGGTCATGATCCTGGGGCGGCGGTGGGGGGGGGGGGTCTCTGCTCAGCAGGGAGCCTGCTTCCTTTTTTCTCTCTGCCTGCCTCTCTGCCTAATTGTGATTTTTGTCTGTCAAATAAACAAATAAAACCTTTAAAAAAAATCTCTTTGATTTTTCAACTCATATAACTTCTTTGTTCTGGGTTATTTAGTTTTACAAGTGATTCCCTATTTCATTAAATAATTCTTCTTTTGCTTTAAATGTCTTTTAAACTTAAGGATCTGCCCTTAGCTATTTATTTTCAAATCAGAAGTTCATAGCTATTCTTTCTATCCCTAACATAAATGTTTAGCTGTGTCCTCTCTCTATTTTTCTTGGTCAACCTAAGTCTCATTAAGCATTCTATTAGTTTTCTCTAAATTTTGGTGTATTGTCAATGTATAATAATTTTTATATGTATGTAATTATATATGTGTATATGTATGAATACATACATGTGTGTATGTATATATTAATTATATATTAATATATAATTAATATATTTTATGTAACATTATAATTAATATATATTATATATAACATATTATATATAATATTTTATATATATATATACATATATAAAATCATAAGATTCAGGATTATTGATTTACTTCTAGAAGAGAAAGACAAATCATTTAGCTATCCTGAGCCTGCTTCCATGGTTGTAAGATGAAATGACTGGACTTCCTGGAATACTTTGGAAAGCTATAGTTGTTCTATGGGATGTCAGTATTAAAAATAATAAAGTGTAACTTTCCCAAAGTTACAAAGTTATTAAGGTGGGAGAGGTGGGAGTCATTGGTACACTGGCCCTTCGGTATTCCTCCACATCTAAGTATCTGCCCTTCCTGAATTCCTTTCATGTCAGCAGACTAAGGGTTGACCTGATGCACAGGGACTATTTTCTAAGGCACCTGGAAAGCTTGATATACTCACCTCTTAGCAGCTTTTCCATTTTAGTCCTCCAGAGCTGTAGGATAGGACTTGACCTATGAAGTCAGAAACGTTCTGTGTTCAGCAAATACAGACGTATCCCACTTTGTTTTCTACCTGGAATCTTCCTTTTCCAGTTGATTGCTACAAGTCCAAGTTATTTACCCTTCTGCTGAGGTTAACTAATCTAGTGAAAAATGTTATGTGGATATTAAATTTAGAATATAAAACATAATTTTTCTTTTTCCATTTCCATTTTTTCCTTTTTTAGAGTTTCCATACAGCTTTTACATTTACATTTTTTAACCTGTATGTATGCAGGAGTCCAAAGAGTTTGAGACTACCCCAGTGTGCTAGTAGTCCTGCCTAATGGAGCTCCAGTGGTACTTGGCATACCTTTTGAAGTTAGTGATGTTCTATGTATAGTATTCTACTGCACCTTTCGGTCTTAACCCTACTTCAGATATGCCTGTATTTGACTGAGGTTGTATGCCCTCTTGTGGTGTATACTTAAAGTAAATGCCAAAGTGGTGGTATATCACAATTAAAATCAAAGGGTTGAATGGTTAGGAAATATGGATCTTAATCTTGTTATCCTAAGAAATTTTATTAGGAAGGCCTAATCCTGTCCATAAGGTAAAATAACCATGCAAATGGATTACTAAAAATTTTAAGTAGCTGTAAATGTTCTTGGTAATATTTGCCAAGCAAGAGGAATAATCATGTAGATATGACATTAATAGTTATAAGTCAGGAACTGTACCAAGCATATTAGCATGTTTTACATAATGGGAAAACTGCTTCAGGAAATGTTGCAAAATTTTTCATTCTGGCCAATACACTCTTGCTTATTAGCCAAAATGGAATATGCAGGACCAGGGAAAATTTGCATGATGGGTTACTAGTGTTTTCTGGTAAATTAGAACATTTCTTTACTTAGATATGTTTATATAAATTAAGGTGGTATTTAGAGGCTCTGTTAAATTTTGGTCCGTAATACAGAATGGAGGCAAAGAGAGACTATTAAATAAGTTAGACAATATTGAAGAGAAACCCTGTCTACAGATACGTGTACTGTTCTGAGTTCTGTACTAGAAATTTAAGGACAGCATATAGTGGTGCATCACAAGTAGATAACTCCATTCTTAGGAAGTCTTTATAGATTCACACTTTTTTAAAATTTATGAGAGATAGATCTTTTATCAGTACTGGGAAAATAGAAGGGAGTATAGGTAAAACATTATAAATGCTTGCTATTTACCTACGTCCGGCCACACTAATATTAGTATTTGTGTTTATATTCAGTAGCAACCGTGGTGTTTCATCCATTTTCCACCCCTTGTATTTCAAAGTCATGAGTGAAAATGTTCTAAAAGCAATAGGTAATCTTAGCAACGAAGGAAACAAGAGCCTTCTAAGATCCTGAAGTAATTACTACTAGATAACATATCCTGGCAACATATTTTTGTGGAAAGGAAATGGTTTTAACTCCAGATGTTACCCAAACATTCTTCAAAGTAATTGGCAAGAACATATAGTAGTTAGAATGTATATGCAGGACGCCTGGGTGGCTCAGTGGGTTAAGCCGCTGCCTTCGGCTCAGGTCATGATCTCGGGATCCTGGGATCGAGTCCCGCATCGGGTTCTCTGCTCAGCAGGGAGCCTGCTTCCCCCTCTCTTCTCTCTCCCTGCCTGCCTCTGTCTACTGTGATCTCTCTCTGTAAAATAAAAAAAAAAAATCTAAAAAAAAAAAAAAAAAAAAAGAATGTATATGCATAAAATATGCATTGCCCGATGTCTAGCCTTAGAATTAGTGTGCAAAGAGAACCACTACAATTCAGACTCATATAAATTCAATCCATGAACCTCTCACTGATTCTATTACACATTAGCAGAGATGGGCATTATAATTAAAAGAAAACTTTGAAATATTTCACGTTTATAAGGTAACCATTGAGCTTTTTCCCCCCCATCACCACAAATTTATAAATTATTTCACTTAATTTATGCAGTTTTTAGGTTGAATTTTTAACAACTCTCATTGTAAGGGCTGAACATTCTTCAGAGGCATGAACTGTGGTATGAGTAATGGGAGAATAACTAGACTAAGAACGCCTTGAGAGTTCTGGTTTCTGGGGGTTTTTTTTTGTTGTTTTTTTGTTTTTGTTTTTTTGGTTTTTTTTTCCTTTTAACTTGCTCCATTGTTGTATGTCTATGCAGTGGACCACATATATGCAAAACACCCATGACATTCAAGTTTTCAAAGGGTACTATTATACAAAAACCTAATGACACATGGAGGAGGGAGTGAGTGAAGGTGGAAGGAAAGGTAAAAAAGACCTGATGCAAAAACCAAGTGGAAACTTCTACTCTGTACTTTCTCATGTAAAAATTATAAAAGGATTTTTAATGACTTGATTTATTATGTGCTAATAGACAGTATTTTCTGTTCTGCAGAAGTCCACAAAAGGAAGATAGGATACCAATGGCAGATGAGTACTATGAATACAAGCACATAAAAGCCAAACTGAGACTATTGGAAGTCCTCATCAGCAAGCAAGATATGGCCAAAACAATCTGAGGTTCAGGAAATGTTTGTGCTCACTTTCAACCAAGATAAGGTCAAGTTTATTTTTCTCTGCCATTCTTGCTAAGTAGTTTTGATATACTGAAAATTGAAGCACTTTAGTGGTAGTATTAGTTATTTTTAGGAAGAGATGGTAAGTGTAACTATCAATGAGGAAGGAGGATTTAAATGGGGGGAAATATAGCAACTAACAGTATAATCGGAAAAAAATTTCAGTCTCCTCCATGCTGAGCAGAAAATGCACAGTCAGTATAATTATTTCAAAAAGCATCTTAATTTTTTTTTAATCAAATCTAAGTAATACTTGTCCAATGGGCCACTTATTAGGGAAAGTCTATTTAGTGTCCAGTGTTTGGAAAAGAGCATGATTTTTAAAAAATCAGTAAGAGGAGAAGAAACTCTTCTTTTTTATGTAGGAAGGAATACAGCTAGTAAGAATGTAATTTATTCAAAACTTCTAATAGATTTTTAAATGATAAAAAAATCTACCTTGCCCTTAAGTCCACTAGGCTATTCAGTAAAGCATACTAGAATGTGTCACTGCTAATTTTTTATTTCTATATAAAAATAGCACATTATTTTATCTGTTATTTGAAACTTTACATTTCTGGTTACCAAAGTTCATTCTGATAGCATGTACTTTGTGAATTATCTTTGTCTATAATTGACAGATGTTTATATTAAAATATTGTATTAAAATTTGAAAATAGGTATTTTGGATAGATCTGTGGTCTGCAGTATATAATCTAATGTGATCATAGTTATGACTGCTAATCTCTTTGTTTACTATAAGAGTATATAACTATTTTTCCATTGAGAATATGCATTTTTCTTAATGTTCCAAGGTCTATATATACTTTGTAAAGTCACAAAGCTTTCTCATGAGTTGTAGGTATTCTTCGTTCTGTACAAAATGAAAGGTTTGGAAATTGTTAAGACACCTTGGAAAAGAAGCCAGAAGGTTTTATTTGCTTCATTAACTTTACTGCATATAGTTTTGTGTTATTTTGTACTAAAACACACATTTATTATTTTTGCCTTTGTAAAAATAAGTAACAGGTCCACATTTTCTCTCTTGTACCCAACCATGTTTGTATTTCTGTTATCTGTAATGTTTAAGCATGATGTTGAACGAATTCACATTTTCATGTAGTTTGGATGGGAAGAATACTGACTTTCAAAGAAGCAGAGTATTTCAGAGGCTTATTGTTTTCTCTGTATTTACCTGATATTTTATAACTTTTATGAATCAGAATGATGTCCTTCATAAATTTGTTTAATTGAAGTCATCTACTTGTAACAGGACAGATACACAACTATTTGAAGTTTACAAACTACATCTTTGATAAGGGAAATGGTTTCATGACATGTATACAATTGCTATTAAAATGTAACTATATATTCTATATGATTGTAAATATTTTATACAATACAAATAAAATATTTTTCTATTATATTTATTATGTTGAAACACAACAGTTGTTTCCTGTTAGCTAATATAAATAACATAAATAACACTGTCAAACAACAAGTTGGAAGTGCTGACAATTCTAGGCTTCAGGATTTAACTCATGCTGCAATTACACCCTTTCATGCGGTTTGGAGTTATCCCAATATTTGTTCAGTAGATTAAAATGAATGCATATTTAAACACCATTTATAAGCCGTTATTCTGTATTTTGCTAAAGCAGTTTATATATTTGTTTTGTTATGTTTGGCATAAAGGAAAAATAAAAACATTGCAGCATCTAGGCAATAAAGTGTCAGAGGAGAACTTTCATCATTGAAAGTAATGGGAAGGGCAGGGAATAGGAAACACTAAAACGGCTCTGGATGAAATTTGAAAAATGGCAATTTGCTTTTGGTGATAGCGGCATGTGCATGCTTCAGTGGAAAACATCTGGTGATGAAAATGGACAACAGAGGATCAATGCTCTTAGGGGAAGAAGAGGGATGGGTAAGAATAAGAAAAGTGGGCATTAACGTCCAACACTGATATTACAGGTTTTGCAGCTGGGATCTTTCTTTGCATTTGCAGTAGACAAACTCATGAGCTGATGACCAGTGATTTCTGCTACAGTGCCCAGAGAAAGATCCACAGGGTCAGTATAAATGACTTCTAAAATGACATCCTGGGCATGGTGGTAAACCAGCACCCCATCTTCTTCCGTGCAGGTCAAAAATTTATTATCCTTGGAATTTAGTTGAGGAAGGCGCTGCTTACAAAATTCATCTCCTGGTGATCCCACAGGGGCAATAACAAGAATCACATAATGATAAGCAGTGTACATACAGTAGAAGTCCCCAAAGTATAAGTTAGTATTGGGGTTAAAAAGTTTTTCTGCTGCAATCTCAAACCTGTATCTTCCATAAGGTGAATCCTGGGGTGGCTTCCCAGTATTGAATTCAGTGCTGCAGCTGAAGAAGATGCCTTCTAATTTACCACTGATTGGAGAGCCATGGCTACCACTGTTATCCTTGACAGATGGTTGCATAGCATTCCCATGATGTTCTCTGCAAGGGAAAAGACATGGTCACTTCTTGATCTAATAGTAGTAAAGCTATTGATTTACATGTAGATTTGACTGGTGATAGGCCCAAAAGTCTGAATGCTCATCCTGCTATAAGATCAAACAGAATCCATCTTTTGACCTACTTAACTTTTTGTATTTTAATGCAAGGATGTTCTTCTACAAACCTTGGAGTTCCTTACATAATAAATTTCCTGGCCAGAGAAACCTACTGGGTTTCAGAAGTGGCTCTCTGAAGAGAAACTGGACTAATAATATTGGTTAAAAAATTGAATGTTTCTTTAAAGCATGCCAGAATTTAGTCCCAATATGAGTGCTATTTGTGTATATACATTGGCACAAAAGAGTCTTGTTTTGTTTTATGTTTGTGTGTTTTCCCTCGGTATGTTTTACCAATCAGGTCCCCTTTCCTGCATTTTTCTTACATCAGAACTGATTATTCTCCCTTTACCATCTCCCCAGATCTATTCTCCATCCTTCTTGCCTTCCACTGTGGGTTGGTTCATCTTTGTCCTTTGGTTCCTTCCATTTCAGTTGTTTATGGGAGGTACCATCAGATCTAGGGGAGGAGGAGGAAGTAAAGCCGTGAGTATGCTGTCTTCTACTTCCTCCATGCTTCAGAGCCTTGTAGTACTGGTGTGGCTGGATTTGTATGTATTATACGTCTCTACTTCTCCTAGTGGGTGTCTTCTATTCCCCTTCCCAAGAGTAGTAAAACCTTTAAACTCTTGATAGTTCCTGGTTGCTTTAGCATCTCTTATTAGTTGCCTTTAACTCTGTCTGTAACTTTATAAATGATGCTTTAGTCAAATTTTCTCCAGAACTCCCACTAAATGTCCCCTTCTTGCTGGGTCTTTGACCAGCATGACTTGGAATGAAAATTACAACCTACCACATAGGCATGAGAAGGTTCTCCCAGTTGCATGCTTCTAAAAGAGTCTGTGGGTCAGTGAGGTATGCCCAGGGTCCCTCCTACCTTTAGAATAGCAATGAGTCTTAAATTCTAGTTTAATGCAGGAAAGGGGACCTGATTGGTAAAACATACCGAGGGAAAACACACAAACATAAAACAAAACAAGACTCTTTTGTGCCAATGTATATACACAAATAGCACTCATATTGGGACTAAATTCTGGCATGCTTTAAACATTCAATTTTTTAACCAATATTATTAGTCCAGTTTCTCTTCAGAGAGCCACTTATGAAACCCAGTAGGTTTCTCTGGCCAGGAAATTTATTATGTAAGGAACTCCAAGGTTTGTAGAAGAACTACCAAGGAAGCTTATTAAAAATGCAGATTCAAGGGAAGACGATGTAACTCACACATTAGAGGACACTAGATAAATAAGAGATGTATGAATATTTTGGATTAGACCCCATATTTTTATTCTTACTCTTCCTCCTTTCCTCCTGATGTTCCAAAATTCTTTCCAGTATCATTCTCTTTCTTTTTTCAAAAATTTCTTTTAGAAAATATAATGGTCCAAAATCTTTGGGATGCAGCAAAAGAGGTTCTATGGTGGAAGTTTATACAGGTCTACCTCGAAAAGCAAGAAAAAGTCTCAAACAATCTTACTTTACTAAGTAAGCAAGCTAGAAAAAGAAGAACAAACAAAACCCAAACCCAGCAAAGGAATAATAAAGACAGAGTAGAAATAAATGATAATAGAAACTAAAATAAAAATAGAACAGATCAATGAAACCAGGAGGTGGTTCTTTGAAAAGATCAACAAAATTGATAAAACTCTAGCCAGGTCCATTTAAAAAAAAAAAAAAAAAAGGAGCAAGAGAGAGAGAGAGAGGACCCAAATGCACAAAATTGCTAATGAAGGAGGAGAAATAACAACCAACACTACAGAAATACAAATAACTGTAACAGATCCTAAATGCCAATAAATTGGATAACTTAGAAGAAATGGATAAATTCCTGGAAACCTATAATCTACCAAAACTAAAGCAGGAAGAAATAGAAAATTTGAACAGATCAATTGCCAGCAATGAAGTTGAATTGGTCATCAAAAAAACTCTCAAAAAACAAAAGTCCAGGACCAGACAGCTTCACAGGCAAATTCTAGTAAACATTTAGAGAAGAGTTAATACCCATTCTTAAACTATTACAAAAAATACAAGAGGAAGGAAAACTTATAAATTCATTATATGAGGTCAGTATCACTCTGATACCAAAACCAGATAAAAACACCATGAAAAAAGAGAATTACAGGCCAACATCACTCATGAATATAGATGCAAAAACCCTCAACAAAATATTAGCAAACCAACAATACATTAAAAAAAAAATACACCACAATCAAATGGAATTTATTTCCAAGATGCAAGGGTAGTTTAACATTCACAAAACAATCTACACGATACAGCAATAAGAGAAAGGATAAGAACCATATGATCATTTCAATAGATGCAGAAAAAATATCTAAGTACAACATCCATTCATGATAAAACCATCAACAAAGTAGATTTAGAGGAAACATACCTCAACATAACAAAGACCTAATATGAAAAACCCACAGACAACATCATATTCAATGGGCAAAATCTTGGAGTTTTCCCCTAAGGTCAAGAACAAGACAGGGATGTCCACTCTCACCACTTTTATTCAACATAGTACTAGATATCCTAGCCATAGCAATCAATATAAAGAAAGAAAATGTATCCGAATTGGTAAGGAAGAAGTAAAACTCTCATTGTATGCAGATGACATGTTACTGTATATAGAAACCCTAAAGACCACCAAAAAACTACTAGAACAAATGAATTCAGTAAAGTCACAAGATACAAAGTCAAGGTACAGAAATCCATTTTGTTCCCATATTACTAATAATGAAGCAGCAGAAAGATAAATTAAGAAAACAATCCCATTTGCAAATATACCAAAACCAATAAAATATCTAGGTATAAACTCAGCCAAAAAGGTGAAAGACCTGTACTCCAAAAACTGTAAGACAATGATGAAAAAAATTCAAGATGACATAAAGAAATAGACATTCCATGCTTTTGAGTTGGAAGAACAAATATTGTAAAAATGTCTATATTACCCAAAGTGATCTACACATTTCATGCAATCTCTATCAAAATAGCAATAACATTTGTCACAGAACTAGAACA